GCCCCGTCTCAAAAAAAGACAGACAGGCCCCTCCAACTTCACGAGAAAGAAGATGCTCCGTTTACCCCTCAGTCGGCAAGACGAGACCTGTTTTCTGCGATTAATTGTTTCCTGGTTTAAATATACCCACGAAATCCCACGAACAAGTCAATCGCAACGAATTTTGCCCAAGAGCCGGTTGGCGACATTTGCAGCCATTGGTTGTTTCCTGTTTTAGATATATCCGCGAACAAGTCAACTGCAACAAATTTCGCCCAAGAATCGGTTGGCCAAATCTGTTGCTATTGGTTGTTTCCTGACTTACATATAACCACTGATCAGGCAATCGCAGCAAATTTCGCCCAAGAATCGGTTGTCAAAATCTGCTGCGGTGGGCGTTTCCTGATTGAGCTATAGATATCTCCACGAACAAGTCAATCGCAGCAAAGGTTCCCTAAAACTCCGTTGGTGATAGTTGCTGCGTTTGCCTTTTTCCTGATGTAAATATATCCTCGAACTTCTCAGAAAATGAAAACAGCGAAGGGCGGTTGCATAGCAACAAATTTTCCGAAGGGTGTAGTTGTATAAAATTTGGTGCCATCAAACCGCTGCGTTTCAGAAAAATGACAGCGAAGGGCGATTCGATAGCACCAAATTTTCCGAAAGGTGTTGTTTCAGAAGTTTGGTGCTATCGAATCGTTGCGTTGTCAGAAAATGAAGATAGCGATGGGTGGTTCGATAGCACCAAATTGTCCGCAGCGTGTCGCTTCAGAAAATTTAGTGCCATCGAACCGTTGCGTTTCAGAAAATAAGACAGCGAAGGGCGGTGCGATAGCACCAAATTTTCCGAAGGGTGTCGTTTCATAAAATTTGGTGCTATCGAACCGCGGCGTTGTCAGAAAATGAAGGTAGCGATGGGCGGTTCGATAGCACCAAATTGTCCGCAGGGCGTTTTTTCAAAAAACCGTAGAACCTAAAACAATATGTATTAGCCGCCGAGGCTATGGGTTTGTGTTACCATACACAGTTTCAGCTGGCAAATAGACCGGGTTTTAGTGGCAACCGCCCGCCCACCCCCCCAAGCCTGAACGGATGATTATGAGGAGCTTGAGAAGTTCTCCATTGCGGTCGCTCAGACACCGGGTCTTGAAGCAGCACGCTTTACACTTGTGGATTAAATAACACATTTTAATTTCTTTGGAAGTAAGACTTGAATACTGTCATCGCAAACGCCGTTCAACACCTCAGGACACGCAGGGGCGGCATTCGGAATGGTCTTCGGATCGGGCTCGGCACGGGATTCTCCTGGTTCGTGGAGTGGCGTGCCAAATAATGGTCTGGGTCTTCGGGTTGCGGTCTATCTTTAGTAATCCTATTCGTAGCGAGTTGTAGTAACGATTGTAGTAGTAGCATCGCTAGTAGTGACCACTATGTGTGGACACACAGTTTGGCTACTACGAGATCGCCTCATTCTGGCACTTGGGTGAACTAGGAATGACAACTGTACAGAGTGCAAGATCGTAACAGTAGTGAAAAGACGTGTAAAGACGGTAAAGAGACATCGTCTTTTTCATACTTCCACTTCCAGGATGAATGCTATCACCGCGGCTGCTGCTACTCCCACTACTGCTACTACTGCTGCGACTACTACTACTACTACCACCACCACCACGATTACTACTACTACAATAGTACTACTACTACTATTACTATTACTACTACCACGACACTACTACTACTCGTGCCAAAACAACAACAACAACTACTACTACTACTACTACTCCTGCGACTATTATGATTACTACTACTACTGCTACTATTACTAATACTGCTGCTACTACTGCTACTATCACGACTACGACTACTACATGTACTACTATCATTACTATTACTACTTCTATTGCTACTGTTACTGCTACTGCTACTGCTACTGCTACTGTTACTGCTACTGCTACTGCTACTGCTACTGCTACTGCTACGACTACTGCTGCTGCTACTACTACTACTACCGCTGCTACTACCATTACTACTACTAGTACTACTACTACTACTACTACTACTACTTCTACTACTACTACTACCACTACCACTACCACTACTACCACTACTATTACTGCTACTACTACTACTACTACTACTACTACTACTCGTAGTACGCCGAGTATGCCGACGACTACGACTACGATTGCACTACGACTACTGCCACTGCTTATTCTGCTATCACGAGTCGTGCTACGACGACGACGGCTATTGCTGCTGCTGCTGCTACTACTACTACTACAACTACTACGTCTACTACTACTACGACTACTACTAAAAGCTACTGCTACTACTGCTACTACCACTACTACTACTACTACTACTACTACTAGTGCCACTACTACTATTACTACTACTACTACTACTACTACTACTACTACTACTAGTACTACTGCTGCTACTACTACTGCCACTGCTGCGACTGCTACTACTGCTGCTGCTACTGCTACTGCTACTACTACTACTACTACTGCTGCTGCTATTGCCGCTACTACTACTACTACTACTACTACTACTACTCCTGCTGCTGCTGCTGCTGCGGCTGCTGCGGCTGCTGCGGCTACTACTACTACTACTACTACTACTACTACTCCTACTACCTACTACCTACTACCTACTACCTACTACCTACTACCTACTACCACTACCACTACCACCACTACTACTACTACTACTACTACTACTACTACTACCTACTACCTACTACTACCTACTACNNCTACTACTACTACTTCTGCTACTACTGCTACTAGTACTGCTACTGCTCCTGCTGCTGCTGCTACTACTACTATTATTATTATTAATAGTAGTAGTAGTAGTAGTAGTAGTAGTAGTAGTGGTACTATTACTACCCTGACTTCTGACACCCTCCACCTGCTGCCGTGAACGCTTTACCACAAGCCACTTGCGACGCCAGAGGTATTCAAACTATGCACTGGCCTTCTTTGCGGGTATGAACTTTGCTTACCACCGAGAGCTTAATCCTGCCACTGGCGAGCCCTGGAGAACTGGCGACATCATGCGGCTGGGCCTGGTTTCCACGGGGTCAGGTATTTCAGTCAGCTGAATCCAGACCAAAAGAGATGCCCAGAAGAAAACGACCTTGACACACTCAAGTAAAAAGAGTGGCAAACATGGGAATATAATGAGCTGCCAATGCAACAGGCGTGGCATCAACGGTGTGGATGGCGAAACTAGACTACATAGACACCGTTGGGCACGCATCATCATCGTGGGACTCCTCTTCACAACGGAATGAAAGAGCGCAGAGTCGCAACTGGATCCCCAAAGCACTCAGCACTCAGGACCATCTTCTTCTGCATTTTCATCGGCAGCTTCTTTATGGGCCAGATCGATCCAAGCATCAAGGCTGCCAATGCCCTGAGATTGCTTTGAGGCTCTGAGGACTCAAGATTGCTGCCAAGCGTTAATGTCCAGATCCTTCGTGTCCACAGCAGAAATCTGACAGACTAGGCAGACATACCAATCAATCTTCGGCATGGCTCCTGTGTCAAGCTGCACTGACACGCTCGGCGGCAATATCCGTTAAACACCAAACAGAAAACCTTCTACGCCGAAGCCAACCCCAGAGTCCACTCGCTGAGCGGTCCAAGCCCAAGAGCCCGGGAACAGAAAAGGTGTGAAACCTTCTACTTGAGCGCTCGGTCTGCTCAAACCTGTGCAGCTGTGAAGGCCATTGGTTCTGCTCAAATGGCTGCATACCGCTTCTTCAAGGCGATTGGGGACCCAGTTGATGTTTGTGGGCCTTATGGGCATGTGTTGTCGGTCTGTACGCTACCGTCGTGCAGGCAAGTTATTTAAGCGAACATGTCAACGTGCCCTGCTTCACTCGATTTTGCGCCTTTCGATTGCGGTTTTCAGCGACAGGGCTTAACACCCCCCTCCAGGTTCATGACAACAAGCCGGCCATTCAGCGACGCGACGCAGATGAGAGGAAGGAGGTGTCTAGCATCGAGACCTTTGCCTTCGAGCAAGTGCACTTCTCCTACCCCGCCCGACCGAGTGTCACAGTCCTCGGTGGGGTGACGTTGACCATCAATCGTGGCCAGAAGGTGGCCTTCGTGGGTGAGTCCGGATCTGGGAAAAGCACAATCATGGCTCTACTGGAACGCTTTTACGACCCAAGCTCTGGGGTTGTCTATGTGAACGGATGGGATATGCGAACATTCAAGATTCTTGGCGGTGGAACATAACCTGCTTTTCTGTGTTGGGTGGGGTCGCCTGTTTAAGGCTTTCGATGGCCGATATAGAGTCGCCTTTCAGCATATAAGCTTCGGCTGCAAGAAGTATATCTAGCTACCTAAGCTCTAAGGTGTAAGCCCGACAGCAGCCGTGCGCCATAAAGATGCCCGAACCCTTAGGCAAGCTCTGGATCGCAAAATCGACCCTCGACCCCTAAAGCAGTCCACACTGAACGCGTACAAGCCCAGAAGCCTGAAAACCGAGCAAGACCAAGCACCCCAACGCCATAGCAGAAAGGGCTTATTAACTGCAATTCCTGAACTTAGGATCGGCGCCCTCCGGAAATGCATTGGCTATGTGGGGCAGGAGCCGGTTTGGCATTCATGTCGCCGTCTGTCTAGGCATTGAGGGTTTGGGCTGGTCTTTTGATTAAGCTTGAGGGCTTCCAGTTTAGCTTGGAATGCGGTGCAGTGACTCTCGCGAGCAGGAGCCGGTCCTCTTCTCACAGTCCATCCGGGCAAACATCATGCAAGGGAGCTCTGGCCCTCAAATGCTTTGTGTGTATGTGTCTGAGACAGCACTGCTCCCTGAACCTGAGGGTCTGTACTTCAGTGCGACAGCTCAGCCAGCTCGGATCAACATAGCTTGCGTAAGAGGACCCCCCCAACTGTGAGAGCTCGCTGCATGTATGGCATGGCAAGGCGTATATGTATACTTTAAAGATAGAGACGAGTTTCAATCATGAAACCCTCTGTTTATAGATTGGTGTTTCCTTCCTTCTGCTACGCACACACTGGTGTGCGTGTGTGTGTACGTATGTAAGTATGTATGTTTGTGTGCATGTATGTACTGTCGCAGTTTATAATGCAATGCAAGGTAGGGTAACCTAATGTAATGCAGTGCAATACGATGCAAGTCTGTACGTATGTTTTACGTATGCCCGTACGTATGTATGTATGTATGTATGTATGTATGTATGTATGTGTGTATATTGATGCGTGTGTATGCATGCATGTAATTATGCATGTATGTCTGTATGTATGTATGTATGTATGTATGTATGTATGTATGTATGTGCTCAAGTATGCGTGTATTTGCGAAGCTTACTTGCATTTATGTAGAATTGTACTCGTATGTGCGTCTTGTAGCGTGGCCTAAGTCTGGGTGTATGTATGTATGTAAGTATGTATGTATGCAGGTATGCAGGTATGTTTGTATTCATGTATCTCCTTGTGTGTGTTTGTGCATATGTGTGCAAGTGAGTGTGTATGTATGCATGCATGTATGCATATATGTCTGTTTGTAGGTATTTCTGTATTGCGCGGAGCATGTATGCATGTGTCTATGTATGTGTGTAGGCATGGTATTGTATGGTATGGTGTGGTACGGCATGGCATTGCATGGCACGGCATGGTATGGCATGATATACAGCATGGTATGGTTGCACGCATGTATGATGTATGTACCCTTTTTTGTGTTTGTACATGCATACATGCGTGCATGCACATATGCACGTACGTAGGTGGGTATGTAATGCATGTGTGTATTTGTGTATGCTTGTGTCTTGTGTGTGAGTGGTAGGTACATCTGTATGTATGTATGCGCGCATGTAGTTTCACACACGCGCATGTATGCATTTGTGCGCGTATGTTTTATGTACGTGCATATGTAGGTATGTGTTTGTCTGTTTTCCATGCATGTATGTATGTATGTATGTATGTATGTATGTATGTATCTATGTTTGTTTGTGTTTTGTTTGTAAGTTAGTATGCATGTCTCTATGCATGTATGTATGTCCGTGTGTACTAGGTCTAAATTTCTCAAAACAAGTAAGTAGATAAGTAAATATGTATGCATGTATGTTTGTACTTCGTATGTATGTATCGTGCGTATCTAAATATGCCTGTATATATGTAGGCTTGTATATTGAATGTGTGTATGTATGTAAGTAATCGTGTATGTACGTATGTGTGCATGCATGTATACCTGCATGTGTATGTATGCATGTATGCACATATATGTGTATGCATGTATGTATGTATGTATGTATGTATGTATGTATGTGTGTATGTATGTATATATGTATGCATGTATGTAATTATGCATGTATGCATGTATGTATGTATGTATTTGCATGTATGCAATGTATGAAGGTATGTAGGTATGCGCGCAATTTATGCGTTTATGCCTATGCATGTACATATGTGTGTATGTGTACGTGTGTATACGGGTTCATGTATGTATATATATATATATATACACATATGATGACTTACTCATGTTTGTGTGCAACGGTGATGTGTGTGTGCATATGAGAGCATATGTCTAAACGCCCTTACCTGCAAACGTGCATGGACGTGCATGTCGATGTGTAGTCGCTGCAGCACACTCCATGCGCGAAAGACAAGCGGTGGGCAAACCATTGCCGCCTCGCGTCAACTAAGGAACCCCGAAGCCACCAAGGAGCAGTTTCAACAGGCATGCGCAGATGCCCAGCTGACCTTTGTGGATAGCCTCCCCGAGAAGTACAACACGTTTGTGGGCGCAGGTCTCCTGGTCTCACTTTGCATTTACTGCCTTGGCTGGCGGGTGTAGTGGCAGGAGCATGAGAGCACCCTGCCAAGATGACAAGCTACTTCGATCTCATAGCATCGGAGACCTTATGGCGATGTCTTCCAGTCCAGATTTTGCATGTATGATGTTAAGTGTGTACGCATTTATGCAGCATGCAGCAGTAAGACTGTGTTCAGATTTGTCGACATCTACACACAGCGATGGCTCTTTGATCCTATTTTACATGATTGTAAAATCAGGCCTGTTGGTTCTGCTGGTTGCCGTGTGTTGTGAAGCCAGCCTAGCTCCGAAGCTACGTCCGGTTGACTGGAGTTTGACAGTGGGCTCCATACCAAGACAGTAGCTCTTATTGGTTTCTGTACTGAGGGAAGGCGAATACATGAACATCTTGAGTTCACCTGACTCGACAGTCCCAAAGACGCCGCGTCACGCCCCAGAGGTCATGCATCCCCCGCACAACTAGTTCACCATGGCCCGTCCATGGCTCTGACGATGCCAATGGACACATCACGAGCGACGTGACGTATGTGTGAGTGCAGATCTGCGTATACAACATACATGCATGTCCGCGCGTATGCAGTGCAACCTGAGGAAATACCAGAGCAATAAAGCAAAAGTAATGCAAGGCAGCGTGTGTATTTACGTACACTGCATGTATGTACCGTATCTATCTATCTGTCTATCTGCCTATCTGCCAATCTGTCTATCTACCTGTCTGTCTATCTGTCGGTCTATCTCTCTATCTATCTATCTATCTATCTATCTATTTGTCTGTCTATCTGTCTGTCTGTTTGTCTGTCTTTCTCTCTCTATCTATCCATCTATCTATCTACCGACCTACCTACCTAGCTATCTATCTATCCATCTACCTATCTTTTCTATATTTCTATCTATCTTTGCATCTGCCTTTCTATCGGTCTACCTATCTGTCTATCCATCTGCCTATCTGTCTGTCTTTCTGTCTGTCTGTCTGTCTGTCTGTCTGTCTGTCTGTCTGTCTGTCTGTCTCTCTCTCTCTCTCTATCTATCTATCTATCTATCTATCTATCTATCCACCTATATATCTATCTATTTCTCTAGTTGTATCATTTATCTACTCTACCTAACCTATCTAATGTAACTATCTATCTTTCTTTCTTTCCATCTATCTATCGATCTATCTATCCCTCTATGTGTGTATGTAAGTAAATATGTATGTATGTACCGAAGTGTATGTTTGTGCGTACATCCGTGTTTGTGTGTGATGTTACATGCCAAAGAAAGACCCCAAAGAAAAACAAACAACGACGGAATACCTTTTCTAGCTATTAGGAGGCCTCCAGCTGAGAGGTTTTGATTTTCAGAAAGCCCCAAGCCTGTGCGATTATTGAGGAGTCCATATATGTACCAGAAGACAGCATACACCAAAACCAAGAGGCCCCAAACTGAGAGGTGGCGGCCAGCTCTCCGGAGGACAGAAGCAGCGGATTGCCCTCGCCAGGAGCATTGGGCTTTCGTTGAGAAGGGGCCTCCTCTTGTTCCGCGAGGGTTGGGGAATTGGCGTCTTCAGTTTCGTGCTTCGGTGTCAAAAAGCCTTGGGCTAAGGGCTTACAGGGTGTTCGGTGCACAGGTTCCAGTGTTTCTTCCCGGTTTTAGAGGCCTCGCACGCAATTATCATCACTGGGTACGCACTTTGTCACGACTAAGCTAGATAGTCATTCTATCTGCCCAGAAAGAGGCGCAGCGAAGCACCACTACCATCCCGACATTGGCTGCCCCCTCAACGCCCCCGTGTCAGGGCGTTGCTGAAGGAGGCCTCTTTCCTCTTCTTGGATGAGGCGACCAGCGCCCTGGACAACACTTCCGAGAAGATGATCCAGCAGACGATTCTCAGCTGTTCTTGGATGTAGGGTTTCTATATAGACTCGGTCATCGCCTGCAAGGCTTCAGGCTTTGGAGCGTCTTTGCGTCACAAGTTGTCTTGGAAGGATCGACAACATCAGCAGCACGACACGCAGCCTCGGGATCGTGAGTATCGCGCACCGGCTCAGCACCATCCGCAACTCCGACCTGATCTACGTCTTAAGCCGAGGCCAGGTCGTAGAGCAGGGCAACCACCAAAGCCTCATGGAGAAGAAGGGCGTCTACTACGCGCTCGTCGCGGCCCAGGCCTGGAACCCTCCAGCTGCGCGACCTCCCCGAATCCCTCCCACTAAGCCCTATAACCCCTGAAACTCAGAATCCGCCAAGGTAAACGTCTGAAGAGCCTTGAAACCTCAGCTTCAGGAGTCTTCTCAAAAGGCGGAGGAAGCTGAGGAGCTCGAGCTGCCGAACCAGCCGACCGTGGCCGTTCTCCGACAGAACACTGGCCAGAGCGATGAGTCGGAGATGGCTCGGAAGGAGAGCTTTTCAGGCATAGATTGGCCTGGGCTGGAGGGTTTCGTCTGCTCGGAATCGCCTCAGTCATTAGGATACTGGGTTTGATCGAGGCCTCTTTTGGGCAGAGCTTCGGGTTTCAGTCTTCGTTCGGACCACCACGACAGAAGTCGGCTCCAGCCTGACCGGTGGAGTGCGGGCTTAGGGCCTTGGCAGGAGCGCATGAAGAAGGAAGAAGAGGACAGGGAGAAGCAGATTACCGACAAGTACAAAGTGCCCATGTCTCGACTCCTGAGCTACAACAAACCGGAGTGGGCCTTCTTCGTGCCGGCCATTTTGGGTGCGTTGATCGAGGGTTCGGCGACTCCCATTTGCGCCTTGGCGCTGGTGGGGTCCATGGATGCCTTCTTCAGGCTGGAGTTCGCGACTGTGCGGGACGAGGCCCGTGACGACATCGTCTTCCTTTGCTTCGTTTTCCTTATCATCGCGGCCTCCGTGCAAATCGGCAACATCATCGAGCATGGCGGCTTTGCTGTCCTGGCCGAGTCTATGACCGCGAGGCTGCGGGTGGATATCCTCAAAGCCATCTTCCGCCAGGAGATTGGTTTCCACGATGATCCCGAGAACACTCCGGGCATGATGTCCAAAGCCCTGGAGCTCTGGGCTTTCCGTGTGAGCACGCTTTGCAAATCTATTGGCGCCAAGGCTGCGGCCATGAGCTCCGTGCTCGTGGGCGTGATCATCGCCTTCGTCTACTGCTGGCAGATGGCGTTGGTCATGCTTGGCACCGTGCCCATTATGATCGCTGCAAATGCCGTGCAGATGCTGGTCATGCTCGGAGCCTCCAAAGTAGACAACGAGGGAATCAAGCATGCCGCCCAGATCGTCAGCGACTCGGTCATGAATGCTCGCACCGTCCAGGCCCTCGGCGTGGAACAAAGCCTCGTGCAGATGTACACCTCTCTGGTCGGCAAGTCCACGAAGGGCACTTCGGCATGTCTCAGTAGTTTAGTAAGCGGCTGCCACTGGAAGCTGCGTTCCCACCGCACAAACAAACTGGAGCAGCAAACCCGTTACTCGCATCCTCAATCCTTGAATTATCTTGGAATCCCCAATTCTTCATCCCTCCACCTGCAAAAGCGAATCTGGTTCCCTGGACCCTAAGCCGTAAACCCTAAACCGCCCAAACCGTTAACGCCAAATTCCTTCAGCCCTACATCCCTACACCAAGGCATGTGGACCCGGAATTTCCTTGCCGGTCTCGGCTTCGGCGTTGCCTCTGGCGTGATGTTCTTCGTTATCGCCGGCGGTTTCTACTATGCCTCCGTCCTGAGGCGTTCGGGGTTCAGGGTTTGGGTTTCGGCTTCATGAGGGCTTAAGTTTAGACTGCAGCATTCGGGGTTTAGGGCGTGGGGGTGTCGCTGTGCCAGCAGCAGCAAGAGCTGACAATGTAAGACATGATAGTTGCCGGGTCATGAGTTCACTTGAAGTTGCAAGCGTTTTCGCGTGAAGAGTGTTGGTTACAACAGTTAATATTAATATCACATACGAGGAATGTAGAAGTCACAGGAAGAAGCCGCTCCTTGGAAGCTTTGCTGACAAACTGATCCTGCACAACATGGGGCGTTTGACTCGCGATACGAACCATTGGCTCGATTTGTGATTGCATCGGTTCTGAAGGAGGGAAGGCGTGGCCAGCTTCAACGACACCATGATGGCCTTCATGGGCATCTTCTACGCAGGGTTGGGTGCCGGACAGGCTGCTGTGTTCATGGGCGATGCGGCAAAGGCGAAGGTACCATGGCCATACATTGACTAGCAGGTACGCAAAGCCGCATCACAGCAATTTGGATGCTGCCGACGAAATCCCAGCCTCCGAAGCACAAGCCCGTCGGGTTAAGTGATTGAGCGTAGCGACGTGGCTTTCCGAAAATATTGTTGTGCTATCTTTCTCTTTAGGTAGATCGTCGTTGTGGCGACATGCTATGGTACGAATTTTAGGGCGTTGAGGCTGCCCATTCAGTCAAGTTGGTAGAGTTGCTTCAGGCAGATGGTTCTCTTCAGGGTGCAGTTGTTCCCCTCACATAATCAATCCTGCTCGTGGCTTTCAGCATACAGACCCTTCCTTCCGCTGAACTCTGTTCAAGGTAGCTTGCCACGACATGTTCAAGCTGCTGGACCGCGTCTCCAAGATCGACGGCCTGGAACCCAAGGGCGAAGCCCCTCGTTGAAGGTACGTAGGCTTTTATATGCTTCGCCTGAAATAGTGAGATCTGCATTAGAAGAACCCCGCAGATCCCTAGTTAAAGGAACTCCCCCTAACTTCCGGAACCCCGTTAAGAAGAAGAAGAAGCAGCAGCTTTTATGAAGTCATATATAGGGGGCCAGATAAGGCTGTTCAGCATCTCGTAGTGGACAAACATAGGCGAAGTGTTGGATTCTGAAAGACGAGTGTCATTTTAAGTGCATAAGGGGGGATCCAACGGGGCTATCAACCTTTTGCAAATTGCGGGAACCCTTAAAGCCCAAGGCCTAACAACTGAATTTGCAGACACTGTGTTGCGCTCTTGCGTCCCTTGGAGCCTCGTAAGATTCCGAGCAAGCTGGATGCCGGAACCATCGAGTTCGAAGCCGTGAAGTTCTTTTACCCCTTCCGACCAGAGGTGGGGAGAAGTGTTGGAATTCAGGCTTTGCAGCTTTGGGGGTGTGGCTCTCACCGGATGGGGTTTAAAATTGTTGACGAGTATTTGCATGGCTGTGTGTTGTGTATGTTGATGTGTTTGTGTTTGCGTCTTGTTTTGTTCCCCAGATAGCTTTAGCTATTCGGGGCTCTAGCTAAAGAGCAGCCCGCTGTGTCCTGCACATGTGTGGGCGGGTGAGTGGGTTCACATCTTTGCAGGGAACATGCATGCACACAGGCTCTTGATATATTCTAAAAGATAGGTTTGTCTATCGCGCCGGCATTTGCCGCAAGTCTGATTGAATATTACACTTGGGTATTGCCGGAGCCTGGATGGTCTAGACCAGCTCCATCCGAAGACACCTGCACGACCCTCCTCTACATCCCGTGTTGCTGATGCAGAATCTGATGAAGCTTCACGAACCCCAAAACTTCAATCCAAATCGCACAAAACCGTCACTGCGGAGCCAGGTCCAGGTTCTCAAGGGGGTGAACTTCAAGATCTTGGCAGGTCAGTCTGTCGGCTTGGTCGGCCCTTCTGGTGGCGGCAAGAGCACCTGGCCGTTTTTGTTTGTCGGACAAGGGTTACTAAGGGTGCTACAAGGGGCTTGGTGGGTTAGGAGTGAAGTCGTTGGAGGCAGCTTGTTAAGCTTAGGTTTTGTGTCAGCTCGTCAAAAAAAATCCGTCATTGCGCCAGGATATCCTAGCAGCCGAGACCTGACAGCCCATGTACGGGCCAAACCAAGGCACAGTCATGTCGCTGATCCAGCGGTTCTACGACCCGCAAGAGGGAGCCGTCTACGTTGGCGAGGCCTCGCACAGCACTTGCATGCATTATCGATCATTATGTTAGCATGTTTGCCATGTCATCATTGGAAACAGCTGAGGATGATTGATCCCAGTACGAGCGTCATCACCATCGCTACACAGAGCGCAAGTGACCCCTAACAAATCTGGAACCAAAGGTTCACGATGCGAGATGTCGTGAACAAACGAGGATCCGATTTCTGAATGCCCTGCAAAAGCCTGTGTAAGACGGATCCTCCCAAGGATAGATGGCGACTCCCCAGCCGCAAATCCCCAACCCAAACTAAAATTCAATTTCGGACTCGAAGAGGCGCGAAAGCCCCTTCACGAGCTGAACATCCGCTGGTGGCGCCGGCAGATCGGCTTTGTCGGGCAGGAGCCTGTGTTGTTCAACACCACCGTGCGGAACAACGTCTTGTACGGTCGCTGGGGTGCACATAAGCTGTACCATGTATTCCAATAGGCAGCAATACATGTCGTGAACGGGCAAAGCATGAATATTTACTGCGGTACATGTAAAAATCCTCTTTCAAGATACTACGTAACAGAATCAGTGTTTAGAGATGTGACGGAGGCTTATATTGGTGACATGGCAGCCGAAAGAATTGCAAACCCATAGGGAAGGCTAAAGAGGCACAGGGCCTGGAGTGTAGCCTAGAGCCTAAACGGTGCACCTTTGAAAGCAAGGTCCTAAGTCCTCAGGCGGTAAGTTAGCCCCATCAACCTAACAGATTGCGTCGGCATAGGGGCCTGCTGTTCTCGAGAAGCAAGTCGAGTTTATAGTTATATGTATGTTTGAGTTGGTCTTCGTCTCGTTACGAAGTATGGGTACTTGCAGACTCAAAGCTAAATCATCGGCTTAATACGGTTCAACTTTCCTCAGAACCTGATGTGCTGACGACGAACAGAACCGCTGATGCGCAACGGCCATAGGGCCTTGGAGCCCTAGGCCCTGAACCCCACGCCTTGAAACGAGACTCGAGAAACTGAGGCCTGGAAGAAGGTGAGACCGTGACGGAGGAGTATATCAAGAAGTGTGAGGAAATGTGCAACTTGAAGCTCCTTGCTGATTGTTCATGCCAATCTTTGGCGACTCTACACGATCGTAGACTGCTATTCAGTTTCATCCTGCTGCCGACTTAAGATTTGATCTGCCCATTCGATGGTTTGTCCTTTGCTTCTCTCTCGCCCCGATCTTGCTCGACATCTACGGGCTGCGAGAGATTGTGATAATGCCCGACAACACGCACGGGCTTACCCCGGTCTTGCTCGATGTCTAAGGGCTGCGAGAGAGTTTGAGAATGGCCGAAAACACACGCGTTCACCCCGATCTTGCTCGACATCTAAGGGCTGCGAGAGACTTCGGAGAACGCCCGAAAACACACGGGTTTACCCGGATGTTGCTCGACATCTAAGGGCTGCGAGAGATTGTGAGAATGCCCGAAACCACACGCACATTTACAGACTGTGAGAATGCCCGACAACACACGCGTTTACCCCGATCTTGCTCGACATCTAAGGGCTGCGAGAGACTTCGGAGAATGCCCGAAAACACACGCGTTTACTCGCTCTTGCTCGGCATCTAAGGGCTGCGAGAGACTTCGGAGAATGCCCGAAAACACACGCGTTTACTCGATCTTGCTCGACATCTATGTGCTGCGAGAGATTTTGAGAATGCCCGAAAACCAGACGCGTTTACTCCGATCTTGTACGACATCTATGTGCTGCGAGAGACGTAGAGAATGCCCCAAAAACATGCCGTTACCTCGATTTTGTTCTTACATGTTGTGCTACGAGAGACTTTGAGAATGCTTGAAAACACAGACGTTTACCCCGATCTACATGCTGCGCAAGGTTTACAGAAGGCCTACGAGCATAAGCATTTACCCCGATCTTGTTCGACATCTATGTGCTGCCAGAGACTTGGATCATGTCTCAAAACACACGCGTTTACCCCGATCTTGTTCGACATCTATGTGCTGCGAAAGGTTTAAAGAAGGCCTCCAAGCATAAACATTTACCCTGATCTTGTTTGACATCTCTATGCTGCGAGAGATGCACAGAATGCACCAGCAATAAGGGTTTACTCCGATCTTGTTCGACATCGATGTTTTCCGGTGGATTTGCAGAAGGCCTCAAAGCATAAGCGTTTACCCCGGTCCTGTTCGACATCTACGTGCTGCGACGGATCCAGAGAATGCCTCAAAGCATACGAGCGTTTACCCCGATCTTGTTATTCTTGTTTCGACATCTATGTGCTGCGACAGACTTAGAGAAGGCCTCAAAACTGAGCGTTTACCCCGATCTTGGTCGACATCTATGTGCTGCGGAAGATTTAGAGAAGGCCTTAAATCAGGAGCGTTTAACCCGATCTTATTCGATATCGATGTGCTGCAAGAGATTTAGAGTCTGGAGATTGCCGCAAAGCAGAGGCATTTACCCCGATGCTGTTCTATGTGCTTCCTTGAGCCACCAGCCACCAAGCTGAAGCAACACGTCACGTGACCTGCACGCCCACACCAGAAAGGGTTCACCTCAAAGGCCTCTAAACTTCCATAGGAGTCTCGTAGTGTAGATCCCCCAAAACTCTGTTCCCGTCATTTACGCCCCAGCCGCTGGATCCAACAACCCCTTAACACTTAAACCCGGAGTCTGTGAACCCTGAAACATTTGCGATTTGTTCATGGCCGGTTCTCATTGTCAGAGCTTCAGTCTGAAGCTCTGACAGCCATCGGAAACTTTTTGGTTCGTGGCTTCACCCCCAAACGACGGAAAAAGGTGCTCCCAAAAACAACACCTGATACCGCGGAGTCTGAACTCCGAACCAAGCCCTGATGCTCTCTGCCTCTGTCCGCTGAAAGCTCAAACTCTGGATTTCTGTATGTAAGGTTCCTCTACAAGTCCGGGAATCGCGGCTTGGCGACAGAAGTCGGACCGCGAGGAGGACGGCTGTCTGGAGGCAACAAGTTGCATCAGGCCTTAAAGCTGCAATATAGGGGCTTGAAGAATTGCCAATGCTAGTGCTGAGGTTCCTTCATATAGCTTGCGTATAGTGACTATGATGATGTAGCCCCAAGCCTTGTTCGAACTTTTAAGGCCTACATACAAGAGTGATTGAAAACATGAGGTATCCTAACGCAGCCTGTCCGTTCCGTTCCTGCTTCGAAATTTCTGAAAACAACTGGGTATTTAGTACTTCAGCCGTGGAGGCCAGAAACAGCGAGTGGCCATCTGCCGCGCACTAATCCGTGCCCCGGCCGCTTGTGGTTGCAGAATTTCCGTTTCAACTTCTGAGGATTAGGTAGCACCCTCCGTGCATCTCGGTACTATTGTGCATGGGACTGTTCTTGTTGTTGCTGATTACAACCATGCAACACTATGGTTGTCATAATGACATATAATGACTATGGCATGTACACCTTTGTTACCACTGGGTTTAGAATTCAGCGTTTGCAGCTTCCAGATCTGGTGACCGGTGTATTATGTGTATTCATGGTGTTCGGGGATTCGAGCTGCAGTGTCAGGGCCTAGGTTGCGGACAGGTGCTGAGATAGCCCCCGCCGTGCTCAGTGATGTTGAAAGCTTAACAGTTCCAGTTCGTGCTATTGCACATGTGTTTCCCGAAACTGCAACCCAGGCAATCCTGCGGTGATGCTCCTGGATGAGGCCGACATCATCAAAAACAAAGTCGCATCCCCAATGAAACCCAGTACCTGAGCTTTAAATCCTTGGCCAGAACCCTGCAGCGTTGCGTGGAACCTGTGCTCGGAATCCTCCAATAACTCCTCGCCGGCAGGAAGCCTCGTACCCTACATATAGACGGGAAGCCGCAAACCTATAGCGAATCGCTGTGAAATCCCGAAGCTTCCACTACAGTTGTCATGCGCGACGGTGTGCCCTGAACCCAAACTCGAAACTCGAAACCTCGAGCTGGAAGTGCTCAAGTTCGACCCCGGTCGGGGAATTCCCAATCTGAAGATAGCTGAGGCCGCAAGCCTGAAACCCTACACCCTCAACCCCATACGTGCTTCCACGTACTCCAGCCGGAGAGACGAAACCCCCCGAAACTCCAAAGCCTCCACTCCGATGCCTCATCCGCAACCCCGGACACCGCTTGCACCCTGCACTGGAGCATCCAAAACCTTTTACGGAGAGGCCACCAGTGCTCTGGACTCTCAGAGTGAACAGATCGTTCAGAAAGCACTGGAGGCCTCAGTGCTCTTGAGGTTGTTTGGGCCGGGGTTTCAGGGGTCAGTTAAGGTTTGGTGTTTAAGCCTCCGTGTTTGCATACGCTTAGGGTCTACCATTCGGGTTCATGTCAAGGTCGACGGTTTCATGGGTTGTGTCCCGCGTCTCGGGTTTGTAGCACATTTGGAAATGCATGGCTGGAGCTCTCAATTACGGACAGCTCACTGTCTAGGTCTTCAAAGTCTCTAGGTTGCCTGTGACCTCCCATAAATCCGTGCTCTATACAGCCCCCAAATCCGCAATTGCAACGCTCGTGACAGGCGTTGAGTTGTGCACCTTCGAAGATGTCGGGCTCCAGGTTTTGAGTCTTTGTTTGGCATTTGTGGCTGTACTGGCATGGCTTTGCGGCATCGTGACTGTTGGGCAAGGGGTGCTTTGGTATTTGGTGTGTTGACAATTGCTGGCAATTACTCAAGGGATGTTTAGGATTTACGATTGCGAGGCATTCGCTAAGCCGCCGCTAAGCCTGATGATGTTGTGTTGAATGGAGGAATTTGGTGTGCGTTGTTTTTTGGCTTGCAGACTTGGCGCCGTCAGGCCGCTCGTGACGGGCGCACGTCCTTCGCCATTGCCCACCGACTTTCGACGATCTCCGGCTGTGACGTCATCCTGGTCAATGCTGATGGTCGTGTTGTTGAGTCGGGCACACATGACGAGCTCATGGCGCACAAGGGAGTCTACTATAAGCTGCAGATGCAGTCAAGGAAGTAGGAGAAGAGCCCTCTCCTTATGGAACGGCCTTCGATACTGGTAGCAAGGGCAAACCACGCAGGAAAGTCAAGATTCAACAATATTGTCAGTGAAAGTCCTGTGCGGGTACCTGGTGGTTTGTTTGCAGACCTTCCGGCTCGGAAGGCCATTTTTCACCTTCTGTTGTTTTGGTTCGTCTTCCGGCTAGGAGGAGTCCCTGATGATTCTTCCCGTGA